GTGAAAGCCGATCCGGCAATCGACAGCACGAAGTTGAAGTATTTCCTCAGCGACCAGCACGGATCAGCTCTAGGCATGACGAAGCGGATATCGTCCTCTTTTGGAAGACCAAACAAAGTAGTTTGCTTTCATGATGAAACACACAGCGCCTTCACGACATGGCGGCGGCGGCAACAACAATACTACAGCGAGAATAAAAGTTACGCCTTCTTTCTTTGCGTGAACATTTGGGTGGCGTTATGCAAATCTTCCCACATCGTGACGTAGATATGTGGGGGCATGTTAGAACGAGGCGTTTTAGGTAGGCGTGATTGACTCTTAAATTTGATAAAGAATATATCTCTTTGGATTTGAGACTTTAGTCTTTGCAACTTTACAGATCTTCTTTATGCACCAAGAGCTTGTAACACTCCAAAGAGAAAGGAAAAATTGAAATCGCATCATATGACCCCTTTAAATCCGTGTATCATTCGATCATTCGTTTTTTGATTTAATATTGAAAGTAGAAAAATTTGAAAATGACTGCTTTTTCATTTTTTCTCCCAAAAAACGTGAATTCAGCTCATGGGTGGAAAAATGAATAAACAGCTTGAATATTCGATTTCTACACGTAGGCGGGAATTAAACGCCCCTTTCTGCTGATTGGTCAGCCGAAGATCAAACCGTGCCGTCATCAGTTCTTCTGCAGTATCATGCAGCAGAATAATAGTCCTCTGCTGCTGCAGTTGTACGGATTAATAACCCATTTTATCAATTTCATATTTTTCTCATCAAACAGACTAATAAATAGCTTGACATAACTCGTGAGGAGCCGTTTTCTCATTTTTCTACTTTCAATATTAAATCAAAAAACGAATGATCGAATGATACACGGATTCTTTAAGACTTTGCCTTTGAAATCGACCCATCCACGCATTCAAGGGTTAAATGCGCTATTACAGAGTGAGCTTGCGTAGAGTTCAGAACTTCAGAAACATGGACTTGCAGCTAACAGGTGTACCGACGAAACATGCTACATATCAGATTGTGCTACCAAAATTATATTTGCATTATTTTAAGGGCAAGTTTAGGGTAAGGGTAGGGGGAAAAAAGCCTCAAACCACATGAAATCGTCAGAACACCGGCTCGCCTCAGTGAAACACTTGGCATATCAGAGGGACTTACCAGCTCCTTTAGTGGATAAAACAACCTAAATGTTGTAAATAAGATATGAACACAACAGCATGATTCTTTTCATGGAAACACAAACCTTGTTCTGTGTCTGGAAAGAGGTAGTCCCGTTCAGAGCTCTTGACGTGGCTCGCAGCCAGAAAGAAAACACAGATGAACCGCAAAATCGCAACGCTGACCCGACTTGGCATATTTCTGCAACGCAAAATTAACGGAGCAAGTTAAATAAACACACTGCGGCATTGACGCCGAAGAACTGGTCAAAGTCAGTCCTGACGGGAGTTTCTGGTGAAAGCAGGAGGCATCAGGGGTCAGAGAGACGGAGAAAGAAAGTGAGCGGAGAATGAAGGAATATAATTTGGAGTGGGAGGAGAAATTCAGTGAGTGACTGAGGAGAGGAGATCAACACAAGAGTATATCAAAGTCTAAAAACAACCAGCTGCAGAAGTGAAGGGATGCATTACATGGCACTTTGCACAAATGGCCTGAAAGTCTTTTTTTATTATTATTATTTATTTTATTTTTTTTTCAAAAATAGACCGTAAAAGCTGTTTACCCTTCATAAAATGTTGATGCAACCCAGAATTTGGGACGTATAATGTGCGGTCATTATGGGGTTTATTTATGCGGTAATGACCAGCTGACTATGCACAATAAAAGTGTCTGTATAAAACATTAATTTGATGGTAAGTTATTTTATATTTTTACTTGTACCCTTACCAAAAAGTAGTATACTTCAAGTTTATTTTAGGAAGTATACTTAAGTAAAATTCAAGTATATTTTTAAGTATACTTTATGTAGTAAGTATACAAATATCAGTGTACTAGTAGTATACTTGTAAGTGTACTATTTCAATACTCCTTGGGACTAAATTGGCCCACTTTCTAGTATATAAAAGTATACTTTTAAGTATACGTAAAAGTACTTTAACAGTAGTAAACTTTGAGTAACTAGTTTACATCAAAATGTTTAGTTTGTACTGCAACTATACTAAAAGTGAACTTATACTGATAGTTTACTAATTAAATACTTGTAGGAGCATTTTTAGTACACTTTGAAGTATGGTCTTAGTAAACTACTAGTTTAGTCATTTTATACTACAAGTATACTTGTAAGTTTTCTTTAAGTGAACTTTACATCATACTTTAAGTGTACTACTACGTCCCTATTTAGGTATTAATTTGTATTTATTTTGTTACATGAATATCTGAGCTTGTAAACAAAAACATTTTATTCTAGCTTCATGCATTCTTTTTTTAAACACTTGAATGTAGATAAGTTTCATAAATA